ATGCAATTTCGTTATGGACCCTGCGTACAAATGCGCAATACCAGGCAATACCAGAGCAAGTTTAAAAGGAATTTCGATCTTATTATCACGCATAGACGTATAATAACCAATATACTTACTAGCTGTTCCGGTTAACGTCGAAGATCTCCTACAAATCTTGATCGAAACACGGACAAAATTTCGTCTAAAACTACATCTCGAAGCCGCCATTTCTTGTATGACGTCAACCTATGTAGTTTCCGGTCCTCTGCGGTTGCGATTGCGTTGCGCGTGGTTACAAAGAGCTCGTTTAGTTTCCAAAAACAATTATTTTTGAGCGTCGAGCTGCAAATATAGGCGATCATGGGGTTTTTCGACAGGCTGGGGAGGTTGTTGGGCTTAAAAAAGAAGGAACTTAATGTCCTTTGTATAGGACTCGATAACAGTGGAAAAACCTCAATCATAAATAAGCTTAAACCTGACAAGGTAAGTGAAGAACTTATGGCATGGCCGCTGGCAGACATGAATTGATGTGGTTGCAGTAAATCAATTCTCTCATTAACGCACGGCAATCTTTACATGGTTAATGTACCTCTCTTTACTAAGTGTCAGGCGCAAGATATTGTTCCTACTGTTGGGTTCACAGTAGAAAAGTTTATATCTCAAAGGTCAGTGTTATTTTAATTTAAAGACGCTTAATATATATTTTTCAGTCTGCTATAAGTTTATTTCCTGTTTAAGCTTAATTTCTGAAATGTACTTGATCATTCTTAGATCTGAAATACTTAGATCTTCTTTGTTGTAACTTAAAAAACAAAAAAAATGAACCTGGGATACATGCATGTATATTTCTTGGTTTTAACCTGATCTTGTCGAGCTACACTGTGGGAAGGAGGGGGCGTATAATGTGTGTTTGCTAAAAGGCTGTTTAAGGCGGGATGCGACAGTATTACCATCTGCATCTGCCAGGGGTAATTAAAGGGCGATCTCTGTGGCAAACAATTAAACAGGAAAGTGTGAGCACACGGATGGGCCAATCAGGGCGAGCAGGTGCAAGCCAGTTGGCTGATCATATATTCAGTCGCTGGTTCACTGGTAGAGTTAATTAACTTGCAACTTATCATGCATGCACCTTCCATGTTGACGCTACATCCATGATATTATTCAAAGTAGAATTAACTAAGTTCATCTTCTTATACTTATAAAATTATGATACAATATTTGTGGTATATTTGAACTCTGTGTGAGCTGTAATTAATTGAATTTCAAATATTTGCAGTCTTCGCTGAAATTTTTCACTCATGATTATAGGAAATATATTTTAAAATTCAACCAATCAAAATCTCTGTGTAACCTGCATTAATAGCTTTTGAATTTCAGACATCTCTTCCGGGTGAATTTGTGATTGGGGGAGACCGCCATTTTTAAGATTAACTAAAATAGCTCTATGTTTATTTACAATTATACTGTTATACAACACCTGTACCAATATTCATTGTACTTATCTTTTCTTCCTTTTTTTAGTCTTAACTTTACTGTATTTGACATGTCTGGTCAAGGAAGATATAGAAATCTATGGGAACATTACTATCAGTAAGTTTAGGAATAAAATGATGTATATTGTGCAATGTAAATTTCAAATATATAGTTTTTGTTTGTTTACTAAATAGTTAGTATGTATGTCTTGTTCCAGAAAATATGGACCATGCCCCTCTCATGGGAGGTTTTTTACTTTGAACTCCCTCACCCCTATGGAAGTTCCCGTTTAGCTCCATACTGTCCTTCGAAAATATTTGCTTTTAACCCCNCCCCCCCCACCCTCTTGGGATTTCTATTCACCTTCCATGGGATGGGCATGGATATTTCCTAGAACTGCACTATACACAGTAGTTGGCAATTAACTCACTCAAGAACTGACAAGTTTAATTTTAAATAAAGCAAAAGATAGTGAAATAAACAGAATTGAAGTCAATGTTAACTTTATCTCTCTGACTTCCATTGATTAGAAATGCTCAAGCTGTAATATTTGTACTGGACAGTAGCGATCGACTACGAATAGCAGTAGCAAGAGAAGAGTTAGAACTTTTATTAAAGCATTCAGGTATGATTTATCAGAAAATAGTGAATTAATGTATATATATGTTGTAGCATATTCATAAACCAGTTGAGCATTTATAATTGTCTCTGTTGTTGTGTTCATTGTAACAGCCTAGTGATTCTGTGGCAACACAAAACATCAGATGTTGTTCGCTGGAAATGACAACATTTCTGCATGAACTTGAACAATCTTTTTCACCTTAAGATTAGTAACCTTAGTTAATTTTGTTCCCTCAGCACACAGCAGTATGTAATCAATTTTTTTCAAATAACCTTTTAATAATAAATGAACATTCAGTTTTCATGGGAAAACAGTACAGGGTACACTTTACATTGTGTACTGGTATATTATGACACACCATCTGTCAGTAAACTTTATAAATGGCATGGAGCGCACACCAAACTCTGTTGTAAAGCTTGTCTCCTACTGTTCGACTCCTGCAGTTTGTGACATTTACATTTGCCATTTTATTTTGAATTTCGATCTTGTTTTTTAGTTTTATGCTTCACATTTGTTTTTGAAGGGCTGTGGTTTACCGTGTTAGGAGGACTTTAAAGTAGAGTAGAGCCATTTGACCGAGCAGCGTGAAACTGCTTTCAGCTGTTATCTGTTGCACTTTTTAGAGTATGACACCTCAGTCTGTAGTTTATCATCAGATGTGTCTTAGTTTGCTTAACCCTATTTTCTATTTAACAATTAGATTATGAGCTCGCTATTTCTATGAAGTGATAGTTGATGAGGCCAAAGGCCAGTTATTTCTTGATGTATTAGTAAACTTTGCACCTGAAAAAGATCGCTCGGATGGACTGTTTACAATTGAAGTTGTGTGTGCGTACACATCAGTATTTTCAATAATTTCAACTTTTTAAAAGTCAATAAACTGTAAATGTCCTTTGTTTAGACTTCTCAGGAATTTAATTATTCATTTGCATCAAAATTTCCCTCCAAAACTTTGAAAAAACGAAAAAAACGTCAACATTTCCTAGGCGACCTCCAGCCACTGCACACTAATGGCTGATAGTGTTCAATGGCTCAGCCAATCAGATTACAGCATTTGCATTAGTATACTAGTAGAATTCTACTAATACAACATAGATTCGGTATTAAACAAGTTGGTTCCAAGTTGGTTACTAGAGAGACTGCCCACAGTCTGATCCATACCCACCCCAAGGGGGGTTCCTAAGAATTGCAAGGGGGAAGGGAGTCTCAAGAGCCAAAATTTTTAAAAGAAATTAAATATGAAACCAAACTGGAATTTCCAGGGGTATGGGGGAAGGGGGAGGGGGGGGGGTTCAAACAAAAAAAAAACCTTGTGGGAGGGGTAATGATAACTTCTGAAACAACATGTTGTAGCAGTAGGTGTTTTGACACTGCATGTGTATGTGTATGTCTTATGTCTACATTAATTTCTCTCCAGAGATTGAAAAGAAGAGGATACCTATTCTATTTTTTGCCAATAAAATGGATTGCGCTGATGCTATCACTCCTGTTGAGGTAGGATATTAAAGGAAGTCCAGTAATAGAGTAATTGACCACTGTAAGTTATTCAATCATATTCATTAATACATTGCATAGTATTTTGTTATTTTTTATACGTGTAATTTAGGCTTGTTTTGCCACTTGAATCAGATACATTTTGTACAAATCAAAACAAATTAATATGTTCATGATTTTTAAGGAACTATCAGAATATTGATCTACCATTCAAGGCTTAAAAATGATATTTTGATTTATATTATATTGATTAGTCAAGAAATCAGTTGAGGAGTACAGTACAATGAAATCAAATTTATATTTAATTAAACTCATCAACAATAGATGAGCTTGGGGAAGGTGCCTGGAAAGATAGTGGAGCCTCGAGCACAAGAGCTGGGTGCATAGAGTAACCATGACAACCCTGTGAGCGGCAAACACCAGGCACCATCACACTACAAAAAACAGTGGAACCATGATACCTACCTCATACTTACCAGAAAGGGAGAGAGGGCATGGAGCAAAGTCGCCAAGCACAGTTGAAAAGGCAAGAATGCACGTGAGAATGAGCTGACCTCAAAAGCCAAGCTGTAAGACCATGTGACCCCCTGCAAACCCCAACCACTGCGCATGTCCACAACAGGGGAGGCCGCTGACCAGTATTGTTTCGCATTTAACTTAGCTTAAATTGCATTTAACCACATTTCCTTATTAGATATATAATTTATTTAATAGCTGAAATATTTGATAGCTTTGATATTAATAAAATTATACCTTTATTTCATTTCTAGTGTACCCAACTAATGCATTTAGATTCCATAAAAAATAAACCTTGGCATATATGGTAAGTTGCGCTTGTATACAGGCAGCATGGGTATTACCATCAGATAGTAACAGATTGTCTATTAATTAATTAAAGGAACAGTGAAAGTTCTGTTCCTAAACATGTTGTATTGATAAATGTTACCAAATATACAAATAAATTGAACAAGAATATTCCACAGAGGTAAATAGAACAGTTTATTTTTGGGAAGAGGTGCAGGATTTAAAGGACAGAAGTTGATAGCTTTTCATCAAATTTGATGAAATTTGATACTAAACCATTTCCTCCATTTGGCACAAAAATATGCTCAGACATTATCTGTTCTGAGAAGAGGACAGTTTTTCCAAGAGTGCAGTTCGAGGAAAACTGTGAGCTTTGTGGAATAGATAATGTCCAACAGAAAATTGTTTCAAGAATTAAAATTGTGTCACCTAATAGTATTCATCATAATCAGACAGGTTACGATAAAGATTGCTTTATAGGTGAAACAATTCGATCTCTCTATAATGTAATNATCCCGTTGAAGCCCTGATTTTTTCAGGCTTCTTCTTTCCAATTGCTTAAATTGGAAAATTAACTGTGATAATCATTCTTCACTTTCAATTAAAATTGTGTCACCTAGTAGTATTCGTCATAATCAGACAGGTCACGATAAAGATTGCTTTATTGGTGAAACAATTCGATCTCTCTATAATGTAATGATTTTAACATTTTAATTTTATTACAGTTTGAGCTATAAAAGGGTTGTAAATAAAATGACTTTTAAGAGAATAATCCAAGCGAGGTAGATTTTCCCATTGGCACTTAACTCACCTGTAGTGTGTTTCTTATAATAGTGCTAGCAATGCACTTACTGGAGAAGGACTCGAAGCTGGAGTTAACTGGCTTACAGGTAAGAAGTTACTGTAGTGCATTTTACTGATTTCTGTGTAAATGATTCGGCACCCTCCTTCCAAGTTCAAATAATTAAGTATAGTTTTTATGATAAATAATAGTAATTGGACTGAGTGGAGTAACAATTCAGGGAGTAATCACACAAGTAATTTCAAAATCGGACGAGCATGAAGCGCCAGGCCAATTTGAAATTACGAGCGTGATTACTCCCTGAATTGAGGTCCAACTACTAATTAATTGTATCTATGACAAATTTTGGAATTAGAACTTCTTTTGAGCGAAAAAGTCTGTAGAGCTTTTCATAAGTTTTTAAAAATGTACAAAACATTGCGAAGAAAGCCATTAAAGCATGCGTAATTGATGTGCGAATCATGTGGGTATCCAATTACAGGTATCCAGTTACAAAAAGTTCAAATTGGATACCTGTAATTGGACACCCACATGATTGCGCACCAATTACATGACTAATCAAAACTATAACAAAATTCTTGAACGTGATTGGCTATCAGCAGCCCGATTTGAGCATTGATTGGACAGTGTATACGTGTCATGCTTGTAATTGGACAGTACGCGTCATTTTGCATGCGCTGTTGCGGTGCACTTTGTTGAGTACACTGCTCTGTTTTTCAGCATTCATAACGACGTTTAATCAGTCAGCGCTCAATCGATGGTTTGTTCGTTTCTCGAATTTTGTCATAGTTTTGATTAATTGGTAACAGGACATCGTGTCGTCCAATTCAGTCTGTAATCATAATCGTGATTAACAAATCGGACTCCCGCTTAGCGGATGTCCGATTTTGTTTATCACTCGTATGATTACAGACCAAATTGGACTCCACTCAGTCCAATTACCATTACAAATAGGCGCACGGAGAACTAACCACGATGGAGAATTTTGTTATAGATACGATTAGTTCTCTTACTGCAACAAGTGTAGTCAAAACATTGACATAGAATAAACTGATTTGACAAGTGGATAAATGTAGAGTGAGGTCCTTACAGGAAAACCTCAAACTGAGACCATTGCTCAGTCAATACGGCAAGGCTGAGGTTTGAGATTTCCTGTAAAGACCGATCGTTCAAGGTTAATTAAGTTGTTTATTATATGGCTTTTTACTTTGTTTTTGCAGGCCTGTAATAGGCCTGTGGGCAAATTACGAGAACTTAATGCCTAGGTAGAATAAGCCGATCAGAGCACGCATTATATCGGTTACAATCACCAGCAATATAATAAATATTAATGATAGTGCACCACTAATGATTCCCCCTAAATTAGATGATCCTACCAACAATCCAAAATAATGATCCCAGTGCTTTAAGGTATAATCCTTCACCTGTAAATAGAATGAAACATTTGTGAGATCCTTTAAATTTCAGAAGGGCAACCTCTTCTCCCTTACATTGTCTGTCCATGGAGTCTCTCTTTCCCTATCCCCAAGAGGTTGGTAAAGGATTTTTGCATGACACCTAATAAGGATAAAAATTAGTGTGTGACCATTAAAAGCAATGAAACGTTTAATCCAGCCAAGATTGTAATGTACTTTTAGAGTGGTTTTCATTTGAGTGTCGAAAGTAACCAGAAAGTTACATGTACTTTGGTTTTGGTTTTACTACGGTTTGAGATTGACTGAGTAGTCTAATTGGTAAGTAACTGGTTTGGTTTTGGTTTCATGACACTCAAATGAAAACTGATCTAGCTGTTTTTAACAATGTGACGTGTAGCTTTTGTTAAAATTGAGCTGTGAAATGGAATCACCCTCCCCAACCCCCTTTGCTACCCACCCTAACATTGAACATTCCAAGGGTTTCTTTTTGGGAGAGGAGTGACTCAGGGAATGAGGTTGTGCGTCCCCCAGAGAGTAGGGGGAATGCAAATGCTAAAGCCTGTAAGTTAGAGCGGTTTTCAATCGACTGTCGTAAAACCAAAACCAAACCAATTACTTACCAATTAGACTACTCAGCCAGTCTCAAACCGAAGTAAAACCAAAACCAAAACCAAAGTAATTGTCTAAATACTTTCGACACTCAATTGTAAACCACTCTATAGCAGCAAATAAGTTAATTTTTAGTTTCTTTTGTTTTCCAGATCAGATCAGCTCCTCGTGAAATAATGGCGCACATTACAATACGATTGTCTTTGAACAGAGTTTAATAGCACACCATTTTGTTTTTATCATAGTCTTAGCCTAATATTTATGTGACTTCAATGTAAATGTGCAATTAGTCACCTAGACAGGCATCCTTTCAGCTCACTATCCGTTCAAATTTCCCTCCTGAAGCTGTGAGATAAAAATTCTGACGAGCTAAAAGAATTTGAGAGACTCTTAATGATTTAAACTAAACGGTTTACCACCATCTGACAAACTGTCAAGGGTCACTGTTGAGCAATATTGTATAGTGTACATACATGAGTGTATGATAAAAACTCATAACACCTGCCACGGGTGGCAGCTAGCTTAAGTACAGGACTTTTGTCCTCTTCTGGGGCCCTTTCCATTCAAAATTTCCAAAAAAATTAAAATAGGGAAAAATGGTTCAGACATTTTCCTGAAAAGTTTCTAGAAAATCTAGAAATTGTTTAATTCCGAAAAGCATTTAAGCTTCCGATTCAACCGAAAATTCCAGGAGGAAGATTAAATGGAACAGAAGTTTCACGTTAGAAATGTCTGAAAATTTGGGTATAGCTTGCAAAGTTGACCTCTTTTCTGGGAATTCTAGAAAACATGCTGTTCCATTTGTCACTGGAAATTCTGGAAATTCAAATTTTTCATCGGGTGGAAAGCGCCCCTGGCCTGAACTTTTTAACCTGTGTATGCTACAGTGTAAATGTTTACTAGATATTAGGTCACATTGTGCGTAGTGGCACAGTTATTCAGGAGACTGGGACCTATCATTCTGTCTCTGTCAGTTGAGATTCCGTGAGAGCTGTTGCTAAGCAACTTGATCGAATGTGACGTCATTCTGATGACGCTATCGGACAGGTGTGCCTGCAACTGGTTGTGCAAGAATTTTACGGCGCAAGGTACCCTGGTAACTGGAAGCAGTGTAAAAAGAGCGCGTGACACTGTCATGCGCATTTGCTGTTGTGCTTCACGGGGAAGGTTTTAAGTTGTAAACCAAGCGCCAGAAGACTTGAAAGAAAGTAAATGTAAAAAGTAAATTTTTAACTTGCTGCAGTGTATTGTAAATCAGTGAATTAGCTTGGCCATACCATCGTTTACAGTTCACTATTTATAGACGATGAGCTCAATGTTTCTATCATAGAAAAAATAAATGAAATTAAAATTAGCTTTTCTTCACCTACGCGTATTTTTGCTATTTTCTCTTCAATTCGCCGATGTTTCAGTCAAAAGCTAGTTTTTCGTTCTACCCTCTAACTGAAATCCACATAGGTAAGAATATAAATTTGGCGCTTTTTCTGGATAAGCGTTGTTTTGTAAAATTTTTATTTCTTGATCGTGGCTCTTACGAGCAGGCTTAAATTTACACATATTTGACAGCCATAAATCTTAGCTCGCTTTAAAACCTGTATTCGAAAAAATGATCGAGGGACCAATATTTACAACTTTACCTTGAAGAACTAGGGATTAATCGAGAAAATACACTAAATATGGTTAGCAAGATAAAACTCTTGCCTTTTGCAAATAAGAAAAAGACAGTTTGATTTTTAAAAATTCGTTTTAATTGGCATATTAAATAAGTGGTACATCAATTGAAATAAGATTAGTGGACATGAAATAAATGTACGATAAATACAAACATGTCCCATGTCTTATATTGTAGCAGCTGGGCGATTAAATAGAGAGTGCAATCATTATTTCATACAGCGCTTACCATTTAGCATTATTACATGAATAATAACACTTTCCAGACTATTTTTTTCACTGGACGTTTCAAAAAGAACATCAAGCCTTTATCAGTTTATCTGAGATGTACAAATTTACGTTTACATCGAGTGACGTCTCAGTATAACAGTTTCCTAGGCTGATCACGTGAGTAAGATTGGCTTACTGTACATGTAAACCCTATCTAAGAGTAATTTCTTGGTAACAATAAACCAAAAAGCAACAACGATGGTTAAGATGGTCAGTTGTTATTTACAGAAATTCTCAAATATCTACCTGCCAGACATGTAGCCAAGGAAAAAAAAAAAAATAATCAGCTTATTAACAAGCTTAGCTGGCTTTTCTAGCCAGTACACACTAAGAATTACCCGAAGCCGGGTAAGCTCTTTTTCTGCCGCAAATTAGCTAATAGTGGCTCTAAGCTACATCCCTGTTTGTCCTGTTTGTGTGTCAATGTTTGGAGTTCAAATCCCAGTTATACTTCATGAAGACGACTTTAAAATTGCCGCTGATCAAGAGCTCTTCCAGCTGATTTTTCTTCTGTCCTTGTCCCATATGAGCCAGGACAAATTGAACAAGCTGAAATGAGAAAAACACAAAAATACAAAATATGCTGTAAAAAACCCTTCACAAATGGAGAATAATTTCTTGAATACCATTACAATAACTTTGAAAGGAACCACTATTCTATGGAAAAAGATTTTCCTCTCCGAAATCTGCTTTGAAAAATCAATTCGCTTTATTTCTGCGGTCAGGCCTACCGTCCACACTAATCCGTCACAAAAACGGAGCTTTCGAAAACGCTCTTCAAACCGTAGAAGTTTGGAAAAAGCCGTCTTCAGTTTCGTTTTCGAGTGGACGAAAAACACTGAAAACGGAGCTTTCCGAAAATGATGGCATCACGGTGCCCCCCATCACGGTAATCACGTGATTTCCCTGACCAAGTTTTCCTCAAACACAAATCCAACATGACCAGCGATTGTTTCGTTTTTAAATTTCTTCGGCGGCGTGCGGTATGGACGGAAAACATTTGATGCGTTTTTAGAATGGAACCTCCGTTTTAAAATTTCTCCGGCGTAGTGTGGACTTTCGTCTCGCTCGAATTAACAGCCACTGAGACTCTGACGATAGTTCCGGTATCAGTCGATAAACGTTCTGAATACAGTTGTTTTTGAGATCTTTTTTAAAAGATCTTTTAAAAGTTGGCTTCCCGTTGCGAACCAAACCAGTAGAAAGCGGATTCTGCATGCGGCTCACGGCCCAGACCCCTATTCTGACCCCATATTAGTCAGCCTCGCTTCTACGCACATCGACAGGGACAGACAAAGTCAACACCAATGGTGTATACGAAGTAACTCGCTAAACTCCAACGATGTTNGCTTTCGAAAACGCTCTTCAAACCGTAGAAGTTTGGAAAAAGCCGTCTTCAGTTTCGTTTTCGAGTGGACGAAAAACACTGAAAACGGAGCTTTCCGAAAACGATGGCATCACGGTGCCCCCCATCACGGTAATCATGTGATTTCCCTGACCAAGTTTTCCTCAAACACAAATCCAACATGACCAGCGATTGTTGCGTTTTTAAATTTCTTCGGCGGCGTGCGGTATGGGCGGAAAACATTTGATGCATTTTTAGAATGGAACCTCCGTTTTCAAATTTCTCCGGCGTAGTGTGGACTTTCGTCTCGCTCGAATTAACAGCCACTGAGACTCTGACGATAGCTCCGGTATCAGTCGATAAGCGTTCTGAATACAGTTGTTTTTGAGATCTTTTTTAAAAGATCTTTAAAAAGTTGGCTTCCCGTTGCGAACCAAACCAGTAGAAAGCGGATTCTGCATGCGGCTCACGGCCCAGACCCCTATTCTGACCCCATATTAGTCAGCCTCGCTTCTACGCACATCGACAGGGACAGACAAAGTCAACACCAATGGTGTATACGAAGTAACTCGCTAAACTCCAACGATGTTGGAGGTTTCTGAGATTCTATTTATCATTTTACCCCAGGCCCCCAAATGAAAGGTTCTTGGATAAAATAAAAACCGCTTTACCTCTTCGTTGTCTGAGCCAAAATCTTCCTTGTACCACTGGAAAATCTTGCTCAGTCGAATCTGCAGATAAAATAGGTGCCCTCAAGTTAACCACACCTTTCATATTTCATTCGTTTTTATAGCTTCCTGGCTTTAATGGAAACTGTTTGTGTTTCCAGATTAGTCTGTGTCGTGCCAAAGTGTCCCATACTGCCGGAGTTTATTCCAGTGTTCGTGGCATTAAGCGGATGGGAGTATTTGCACTCCCCCTTCGATGGAATGCTAGTCCATCGTAGTGTTACCCCCAGCATTTAATTCGCCGGTACCCATCTATACACCGGGTGGAGAGAGGCACTGTGAGAGTATTCAGAGTTAAGTATCTTGTCCAAGAACATAACCCAATAACCCCAGGGCAAGGCTCGAACCCAGACCGCTTTAACCGGAGTCGAGCGCGCTAACATGAAAGACAACAAAATAAGCTCAATTTATTTTGAAGTATTTGCACAACTACAGAAAGATTTACCTCTCTTTTTGGCATATTAAGCACGCAGCCGTCTTCCCCTTCCAAGAATGCCTCAGCAGCGAGGGACAACTCCTCGTCAATTCCCTGTGAAATCCGGAAATACATTAAGCTATAGATCTCAGTGAAAAAAATAAAGCCAAGTCCCGCCCAAGCCTGCGAACAGGCTCCCCGCGAGGACGGAAAAAACAAAATTCGGCGAGCAAAGCGAGCTATTCCGGCCCTTGACCAATGAAAGGCCAAATCCTGTCTAGAAACTGACGATAAATTCTAATGAGATTGCAAGTGTGATTGGTTAATCTGAAACCGGGCTCGAACACTTAAAAGATGATTTATTTTATCGAAAAAAATTGCTCCGCAATTCACCTCAGAACTACTCTGGAAAAACTTCATGCAATCCTGGTCGATGTTTCTTGGAAAACTTCAACTTCAACTAGCAATGTCGTTTGCGTAGATTTCAACAATCGAGGGGATCGAAGAACATTGAAAGGAGGTGCGAAGTGTCCAAATTGAGAAGTTTTCTAAGGCTTATGATTAAAATTGTAACTTAAAAGCCTGGCGAAAGGATAAATAAACGTAATAAAAAAAATATTACCGCCGATGTATAGGTCTTTATCGGTGGACAACTTTTCGCTCCGCACACGAGAGCAAAGTGAATCTTGGGCTCTGGCGCCGGCAAGGCAACTTTTAATCTTGGATCACTCTTTGAGAATGGCTTTGTCACAGCACCAATGGCTTTACGGTTTGAGCGAAGGACACCATTTTCGATCTCGTTGAGAGCAAACGAGTAACCTCCGATGGTGTAGGATATGGTGTTGAAAAACTGCAAGAAAAATAATGAAAATTTTCAGACGAAAAATTCATCTTTATCCCAACACAAAAAGTCAGCGAATGCAAACGTATTTCCGGAAGTCGCTTAACTCCGCCGAAAACAAGACTAGCGACAGCCGGAAAAACGTCTGCGGTCGTAGCAGGCTAAACACAACACTACTGAAACAAACTGCACTACCTTAAAGCTACGTCACTGTTCTTGCTGGCTGAAAACATAGAGAGGTTAAGCATAACGTTAACGGCAGGCGGCCAACGGCAAAGATAACTTCTGATTTTGAGTTCTTTTCTTCTAATCCGTAAATAAAGCACACAAAAATGGAATAACGTCTCCTACTATTCATTGCAAATACAAATAATTTCACTCTACTGTGTAAAGAGCTCAAGAGAGACGGCAAAAGTTTCATTTTTGCCGTTTGCCGTAAACGTCATGCTTAACCTCTCTAAATTTAAACTTTAGCTTAAAGTTTTCACGTGTGTCGTTCCTACAATCCGTGCCAATCTTTCCGAATCTTAGCGGCAATCCATATTTCTTTCTAGCTTATTGTTTTTCCTAACCTTGCTCGTTCTTCTGTCTCTGTAAATCGTTCATTTTTTATTTCCCCGTCCCCTTGATTTAAAGGTGATCTTGCAGAACGCAAAATCTACCACGTAAAGTCATTTCTTTATGTCGCGTTGGGGTAATCTTTTAGAAGCCGAGATTGCTACTTTCATTCTTGATATCACTTTATTTCACGTGAAATTTGATAGATTTTTTTGTAGGGCAATCTGCTTTGCCGCGACTCTAGCCTTTTTAACTTTACCTTATATCTCTGCCAGAGGTTAACCGGAGGTCCTCTCACCACATTAGCATGGATAACCAGAGCATTGTAAATATTAATAAAAAAAGCAAGAGTCTCCTCCCGTGTCATTCCTTCCAGTTTAACGCGCTGCAGTTCAGCAGTGTGCTTGATGTACGCCAGGAATTCTTGGCTCTGTGCCATGGACCCATAGTCCACACCCTGTCCGAAATAACATATTAAGGATTGTTACTATTCTGAAAGTAAAGCATGTCCTATGTTTTTCAAATTCGTTGGAGTCTTCGTTCACTCCGTATTCGCATTACGCTTTTAGAAACTAAAAGCTCAAAAGATGGATGACTTTTCTTTTTTGTGTGTTTTTTGTTTTTCTTGTTTGTTTGTATTTTTTTTTCTGCGAAAGAGTTTAATGCTGAACAATTTCTTTCTCCTTTTCCAAACCACTCGTCTCTCATAACAGCAGAATGGTTTGCTTTTTTAAACTTTATTAACGCGTAGAAATGTTTAGCCGAGAGGAAACACCCCTCCACTAATTGGGGACCCTTAATATAATTGAAAACCTACTAACAAATAAATTATCTTTTGTTTTCCTTCCACGGCTATCCTGGATAAACACCGAATCTTCCGGATACGATGAAAAAGAAACGAGATTTCAAAGACAACAATTCTCTTCTNCTGTAGTTCAGCAGTGTGCTTGATGTACGCCAGGAATTCTTGGCTCTGTGCCATGGACCCATAGTCCACACCCTGTCCGAAATAATATAAGGATTGTTACTATTCTTAAAGTAAAGCATGTCCTATGTATTTTAAATTCTTTGGAGTCTTCGTTCACTCCGTATTCGCATTAAGCTGTTAGAAACCAAAAGCTCCAAAGATGGATGACTTTTCTTTTTAGCGTGTTTTTTGTTTTTCTTGTTTGTTTGTTTGTTTGTTTTTTCTGCGAAAGAGTTTAATGCTGAACAATTTCTTTCTCCTTTCTCCAAACCACTCGTCTCTCATAACAGCAGAATGGCTTGCTTTTTTTAAACTTTATTAACGCGTAGAAATGTTTAGCCGAGAGGAAACACCCCTGCACTAATTGGGGACACTTAATGTAATTAAAAACCTACTAACTATTGTCTAATAAATTATCTTTTGTTTTCCTTCCACGGCTATCCTGGATAAACACCGAATCTTCCGGATACGATGAAAAAGAAACGAGATTTCAAAGACAACGATTCTCTTCTCTTTCTGCTCACCAAGCAAGTACAATCACGGAGTAACTAACAAGTCAGTTTCTGATGGGATCAGCGACGGATAAGCACCTTTCACTTTATGAGTCCATAACACCTTTCATTTTATGAGTCCATTAGCACATTAGATCCTTT